CCAAGTTTTATTCAAAATCATCTAATGATTCGAAAAGGTTCTTCAGATTGCTGATGAAGTTATTTAAAGGGAAACTGTATTTGATATGTTAATCAATTTAAAATATCATTGCAACTGTCTAGAGAACATTCAGTCTAAGACTGATACTATCTTAAAGGAAATTTATATGCATTTTAAATAATAAATAATATATAGATCATTCTTCTTTATTACGTGTCATTTACCAACAATAACTTCACCATTTGCCAACAATATATATCCAAAAGCAATCAAATAAACTAAAGAAACATAAAGAAAGCTTTTGTGCTTCTTTTCTTATTAGTATTTTGTTTTTATTATTTAATTACTGCTTCCCCCCACCCCAAATTTGTAACTTCTAATAAATTGCGGATTACATTTCGGAAACTCAGATGTTACGCTGTAGGTTATTTTAATAATTTATGTAACAAAATGTGGAAATTTTAACTCAACTCTTCGTTGCTGCTTGTAGTTACATTGCATTGAGCAAAATAATATATATTATGTAAAGCATGAGCACACAAGAAAATCAAACTTTTTTTTTTCTAATGAAAATCACATTCATATCAATGTACATTAAAAGCATCGGCTTATTTAAAATGCATTAAAACAAAACTTCAGGATATCAGTATGAGCAACGAGTATTGTTCCAAAAAGAATAATTAATTCGCCATTATTATGTTTACTATTAAATTAGTTTGTTTTATAAACCCGTATCAAGAATACGCTTATTATAACGTATTAAAATAGACTATTGATTTTCTAGTTTTTATCTGACTTATTAAGCAATGTTATTTTTTTTATATGCAATTGCGTGTAATTCAGGTTAATTGAATGCAGTACTATTCGGTTTGCGTGAATCAATTGAAAGTTTTTTAACTTGCTGGTTTTATGCATATACATAATCATGAGTAAGTTTATTTAAATAATGCAAATATTTTGAAATGCTATTTTTTAATTGAATTCACAAGCATTTTGCATATTTCTGAAAATTTAGTTTGAAATCCTTCTTAAGACTCCTACTGAGAGTTGTCATATAGAGATCTCCAGAGTTCCAGAAATAAGGGGGCCACTGAGGCATCTACATGGCCGCTTAAGGCGCTCGTAACGCTTTTGATATCATCGCCACTGACCACCTAAAACCGTCAATAACGGTTTTGAACACATTTCCCTTGACCGAATAGAAGAGTCCGAACTGATTTTGACGTAGGTCTCCTTGAACGCCTAAACCCAGTTATACCGCTCAGAGGGTTAATACAAAATTTCAGTTTGAAAATTTGGACTGTAATAGTCATCCAAAACATTTGATGATCTCGGTCAAATTAGGGGACAGTTTTCTGAGAAATATCCTGATCATTAAAGTGTTATTTGTTTATGATTTGGGGAAGTTTATTTTTTTAAGGTGTTCATCTTGGAGAAATACAGTACAAAGTCCGAGATCCGAATCGTCAGGACTTTGGTGATTCCGGATTTGGGATTTTTCTGGATATTAGATAACGAGTTGAAATCTAGTTAGACGGCATGCAGAAATTATACAGTTAAAAATACAAAATCGTAATTTATAAAATAAAGAGCATTTGTGATCTAAAGGGTATCAAAATTTACAAAAAAAAAGGCGTAATATTTATTTGTTTACATTATTAAACATTTTTTTCAATGTAAGTTGTGTAAGTTGCTTTGTTTTTTATACTAATATATTCTCTTTAATTCTATAAACAGACATAATTTCTTGTTCAGTTACAAAAATCCACTGTTCAAGTCCTGTAATTGCTGTGTCAAGAATACCAATTAACTTTTCCATCAAAATTTTTTCATTTTCAATAACCTCTCCGTCACTTTCTTCACTATCAGTAGCGGTATTTTCTGGATCTGGACCCATACTACAGATTTCGCTGTCCATTAATTGTTTGATGATTGGGGCATTGTCATTGCAATGAAAAACTTCTGTAATATCATCTTCATTTATTACCGCTTCTCCACATTTCTTTACAAAATCCATTAACTGGAAAATTTCACCTTTAGTTTGCGATATCCGAAAACATTCAAATTCGCGGCTATCATCTTTATTGTTCTCGCCATAAAATATGGTAGCTGGCCATAAATTATGCCATGCATTTTTTAACATATCTTGAGACACATCCTCCCACAATCTTGTGATGCTTCACACAGTAGATGTTATGCTAAAATACTTCAAAAATTCTTGAATAGTCTTGCTATTGTTCAAGAAATTTAACATGGATTTTAAAAATGCTACTTTATGTTTGCATTTCAGCACACACATTTTTCTAATATCCATAGGCTGAATGACGGACGTACGATTTGGAGGGAAGAATAATACAGATACATTAACTTTCATTAAAACTTCAAGCGAAGTATGAGTCGAACAGTTGTCTACAAACATGACTACTTTTGAGTCATCAGGTAAACCATCTGAATTCAAATGTTGCCAAGCCTCGAGTATAAAATGATTTCCGAACTAGTCATTCATTAACGCTTGTGTCATAAATGCTCTTTTATTTGCACATTATATAACAGGGAAAGTATCTACTCCTTTAAATGCTCAAGGTCAAGCATGTTTTCCAATTTACGAAAAGTTTGCACTTGTGCGTTCCTGCAGCATTTGCACATGCTAAAATTAATTGTTGGTCTTGCTTTGGAATTTTTGAATCCTTTTCTGTAGAGGTTGCCAATGTATTTCGTGGTACATATTGCCCAAAAAAGACTAGTTTCATCAGCATTGTAAATTTGTTCTGGAGATAACTTTTCGCTATTAATGAATTCATCTGCAAATGGTTCAGAAGCTCTTTTTCACCTGAATTTTTTAATTGGCGGTTTTTGAATTTGGTTTCCATACCTGTCGAATATATGCACTCAGTTTTATTTCTTCATGAAAGTTTATTTCTTCCTGAAATAAAGAGCTTGAGCCAATAGCATTGGACCTGTCAATGGCACACCCTCACTGCAATGCTGTCTGACCCATTCATTCATCACTTTTAGCATACCGAACAATTTTTCTGTTATTCATTGCAAGTGGAGTATCGGAATCCACAAAAAGTTTTTTTTTTTTTTTTTTTTTTTTTTTTTTTTTCTTATGTTATATACAGTTGACTTTCAAATGCCATACTCCTCGCATAATTTTGAGACATATATGACTTTATCCATTTTTTGCAGCAATTCCACTTTTTGTTTAATAAACTCTGAAACATGCTTTCGCTTTGTAGATCCTTTGGCAGCTCCAGATTTTAAAAACTCTTTTCAACAGAATTGAAAGTTGAGGCTTAATTTTTATAAAATTGCTGTAATAGTAACAGTCTGCAAAAGATAATAATCTGGATCAAATTAGAAGATTAAGGAGCAGCGAAAGTCTGCTACATTAATTGAAATGCCTTAGAATCAGTACAAATAATTTTAGCCTTGCTTAATAGCAGCATCCACTATACATTATTGGCTATGTATCATAAGATTGGTGACAAAAGACAAGTTCTTCCGCTAAATTTTTTCTTGCTCCTACTGAGTACTGAATTGCAGCATTTTAGTTAATTACTGTACCTTCGTCTATTTCTTGCACATGCTTAAAACTAATTTGAGTCTGAATAAATAAACTCCCACATATACTTAAGGCTTTATCTAGGGCCGACGCTAGATACCGCCTGGGACAGTCTCTGCAGGTCCTAAATTCTGCCACAAAACACCTTCCTAATTTCTAAACACCCTTAAACTTTGGATCCCAGTGCTTTCCTTAAATTATAAAAAATTACTCATACCTTAATTTTGCCACTCGGTGCTTTCCTAGATTCCAAAAATTTTGTCTTACAAAATTTCTGTCATCGCTTCTGGGTTTATATAAATAACATATCAGTCTTTTTTAAAATTAAAATAGCACTAAATATAATCTTTTGGCCTATGATTTTCATTAACAAAATCTATTTTTAGCATATGAAAAGAAATTTTTGTTAAGTTTTTCCACATCAACATTTCTTGGAGCATTTAAAAATCTATAATCATCGCCAAGCAAAATGTTACATTAAAGGATACCATACTCTTGTTATTCAATTACCAATATATTTTTAAATGTTTCGACATTGCAGCATGAGTCATTACTGAAACTGTCATGTATTGATAAACATGCAGTGATGAAAGCAAAATATAATAAATAATGACTCGCCAGGTCAATGTCAGGGATAATAAAATACTAGTAGGTGAATGTTTCAGTTTGAGATGTATGCCAAGCAGACACTCAGCTACTGAGCCAAATTATTAATATCGCAATTTTATGCTTACATGATTGTTTCTTCATAACAAGGTATTTTATTTAGTGCCTAAGTGAAATTAAGAATCAGAATTTTTAAGTGAAAATCTCTACATGTTTTATTGTAGAAGGAAAAATTAAATGTGCATGCATAAAGCATTAAAAAAAAAAAAAAAAAAGGTTATGGCTTTGAAGTCCGGATTTTAGATCATTCCGGATATTGGACTTCTGGATCTCGGACTTTGTATATAAGAATAAAATGCATTGAGATTATTATAGTTTACTACAGGCCATGCTTTTCGGCTCTGACAAATTTTGGGGAATTGCTAAATTTGTTTTGATGGAATCAGTGGAAGAAAATTCAAAACATGACATGGGGAAAAAGTTCATCACACTGTTTTGAGTTAACATGAAAAACAGCTTATTTTCTCCTTTTGAGTGAATTTTATGTCCTCAAGGGGGGGAAAAAAGCCATAAAAGGACTTCCTCTTTGTCTGCCTCTCAGCTGACAAATTAAGCTAAAGATACAAGTGAAAACTTATTTTTAAATTTTTGGGTCCTTTTTCTGTGTTAAAACTTCAAATTTAATTTATTGCAAGCGTTCTTAATTCAGTTCATTTTATTATATATTTATACGTATATATGTTATTTAGTATTATTTTTCTAGGGAAATTAGTAATAAAATATCCTGAAATTGTCTTTCATTTGATTATATGAATTTTTTTTATTTTAGGATTCTGACCGCTTTTCACGATCTCGTTCCAGTATCACGTATAATGAACATTTGGATCAACGTAATGGTAAGCTAATTTCTAAATTTTATTATATATATATATATATATAAGAATAAAATGCATTAAGATTATTATAGTTTACTACAGGCCATGCTTTTCGGCCACTGTGAAAAAGAAGGCGAAACCCAACAATAGCACTAATCTGGGGACTGCGTACATGTGTTTGTGCCTATGTAAACAAGAATAATTAAACATAAAAATATTATTACAATACTACTGTCAAAATGTGTGGCAGGTGCATAACAAAAAAGTATAAAAACTTCTTAGTGAGGAGTGCAGATTTTTCAATGCTTATCATAAAGTGTCTTCTATCTTCATTTTAAAATCAGGTAGTTCCTGTACCTTTTTTAACATTTTGTAAGTTAAAGATCCTTTCTTAATCTTTTTTACTGTTATTGCTTTCATTGTTAGCTATTGTAAGATCATCCAGTTCTTCCTTCATCATTTCTAAATTAATTCTTTAACTTTCCTTCTTCCATATCTGAAAATCCTTCGCAGGCTGTTAATATTTTTTCTATCTTTTCTTGTAGAATTTTGCTTGAAATTTGAGCAACCTGTGGCGAAGTATCGCCTAACACTTTGAGGCCCAAAACGTTTCTTCATTCTTCTGTATTCTTATGCTTGATTCATTTATAGCTAGTTCCCTAGCCATGCACAATTTTTCAACTTTTCTATGATGCAAGTTTTCTGAGATAATGTCAAATCATTGCATCCTTTTGCTATGTATCTTCATTTTTCCTCTTAAATGTTACATTGAATTTTTGAAATTGGAAGAATTGCAAATGGAAAAGAATTGAAGGATAAATATGTGATTGCAGCTCTGCTAACTTAAATGAAATGATTACAACTCAGCTAGCAGGCAGTGCCAAATAGGGTTGCTAGTTGCATGTCTGGTTGATTTTTGTAAAGGGTATATTGCTATGACACTGCTACACACCACATATGAATAAAATTTAATACTGGACAAATTAAATGGAAACAAAATAACATATATGTGTAATATTGTTTTCTACAAAATGCGTTCATCAGTTTATCAGCATAATTTTTAACTTCCTTTAAATATGTGTGCATTTATATTACTCTTCAATTCAAAGGAAAGCTTTTGCTTAAGTATGGTAATTTTTAATTGCGTATAAAAAATAATTTTAACAAAATTCAGAGATCTTTCTACCACCAACGAAGAAGTGGTAAGTACTGAACACTGGTACTTCGGTCTGGTCTGGGGTTTAAATACCAGCAAATGGGCTAGCTGCATGGTGGTTTATGTACTTTTCTCCATTTTTAATATGTATAGAGCCAGTTTCCATTAGAATATTAGAAATTATATTAGAAAATCCTCCACAAATGCATGCCTTCCCTTAGGCAGATAGCTCTCGAATGCTTTTCCATAACTAAATAAAGCAAACCAATCGGAGGTCTTTCTCCAGGCTGTTTAGGTCAATGTTATTGATAACTGAATACATAAAATATTACAGCAAATTATTTAATGTGTTTTTTACATATAATTTTAAAGAACCTATAGAAATGAATGATTTTTATTTGTCAAAAATATCTGCCAAGAGCTCTGTATTTGTTAAATTATTTTAAATTATTTTGGCTTTTTTCCTTTTTTTAGAATTTAAATTTTCTTTTTTACTTTTTTACTTTTATACGTATTTGTTAAGAATTTAAATTTGTTTAAATGTATGCAAGTGCAAGATGTTCTGGGAGATTATTACCTCAGATATTGGACATCCGGATTTCAGACTTTGTACTGTAGCATACTTTTGCATGATGTTGACAGAATCTATAGTTCACAGCTTTAAAGGATGCTATAATATGGCAAAAGTAACAATTTTTATGATGTGATGTGAGCACGGAAAAACAAAGTACGAAGAATATGGAAATTAAAATGTTTTTTTTAAAATTGCATCAATTTTGTTACACTATATATTTTCTCATAAAATTGTTTTTGAATATCAAATATTATCAAAATTATTTTCAATTTTTCCCCTTTACATAAAAGGCATTGCTGTGTTTTCCAAATCATCTCTTCTACCCGAATAAAGTGTCCCTATCATTTATCTCTACTGAAATTGTGTTCTTTATGTATAATTGAATTTAAAAAATACAAATACATTTTGGTTATAAAATATTTATATATTATTTGTTTTAATATATTCACTAATTTTTTAAGATATATTTTGGTTATCATACGAAAACAACCTCAATTTTAATTTAAACGTTAAAAAGAAAAAATTGTAAACAAACTTGGAGATATTACCGATAATCTGCAAAATTTGCTTGGCCACACAGTCCTTAACTTAGTCAGAAGTTGCATGGACTATCAGTTTCTATTGTATTATACATAAATTATTTTAATGCTACTGTAACGTTGATTGCTATTTAAATAAGTGTATAAAATAATTTTATGTTCAGTGCTGTATGCTGTTTCCTACTTTTAGCATATTATGAAAATGATGAAGGTGAAGATGAGGAAGAGGAGCAAAACATTGTATCTTTAATTCCACCTCTAAGACCTGTGGAACCTGTGCAGAATACTTTTGCTGCTGCTCCGAGACAGCCTGCTTCTAGTTGTCTAGCTGAAGAAATGGCCCGCTTAGGTTTAAAAAATACAATTGCCACAGGTATTGATTTCTTAATTTACTATTATTTATGTATTATCTAGCAGATATTATGTAGTTAATGTTATTTAATATTAATAACCAGGATTTATTTTAATACTAATTTGAGCTTTTTAATTTATTTCCGACTGTAGTATATATATATAATATGAGAAATTTGAAAACTGGGCTTTACATTTCTCTTGATTGTAATTGTTATTATTCAAGTATTCAGTAAGACAATTTAAAGAACAGCTTCAGTATAGCCCACTTCAAAGTTTGGCAAATTTTTTTCGGGGGGTGCCAAAGCGTGTGAAACGTTGTTTTGAAAAACTGTTACCTTCGAGATTTTCGGCGAAACTTCGTGTTTCAAAAATGGCGGCCATCTTATTTCACCAGAAATTGTGGATAACAGAAATAAATTTATGACTATTATTATACACGATTTTAAAAGAATAAATATCAAGAAATGATTAATGAAAATGGTTAAGTTTAAAAGGATGAAATTTTAAAAACAATACCGGAAAATCTCACCTTTGCTTGGCAGTCCCAAATGTAAGATACCTTTACATGGTATCTTACAGTTTTCACAACAAACTTTATCCTTCAATAATCCGCAATCCATCAAAAATCCTCTAAAAAGTTCATACTCTCTTGTTAATTCATACATAAAATATCTGTTTGGAATTCCTGGCTTTCATAAACTTTTATGCTTGCTTGAAAACTCCCATGATAAATTCTCCTTTAAAATCTCCTGATACTTAATTACAACATCACTAACAGCATTGGTTGAACTAACTGCTAATACCAGGTTTAGAGCAATCCATAACTAAATGCAAAAATCTTATCTCCAAAAGTATTCTCCACAATATCTGAGCGTTAAACAATTGCTGAAAATAATGTTACAAATTTTGTGTTTAGACAGTTAATTTTAGTAGAAATTTGCAAAACAAGACATCTTTGTCTATCTTTACGGTTGTTTACATTGCGTTTGCCAAATAGTATGAATTACCACATGCTCTTAAGCCGCTGTGGATTGCCACATCATATGATTTATCACCATTCTTGGCGATATTTTTTGGTTTTGGTGGGTGGACTATACTAAAGCTGTTCCCAATTTTGTAAGATATAAAGCACATCAAAGGATAAAGCACACATTAGTTTTCCATATTGATACGAACTGCTTTGATTGGATCATAATGCTGTCAGTCAGGTGAGATATAAGTGAAATTTACAACTTTCAGCATCAGATTAAAATTGCTTTCAGAATGTAAATTTTTGTTTACCTGTCTGAAAGGAATCTCATCTTCCTATTTACAGGTGTAGAATCAGTGTCTTGTAGCTATAATAACTTTTTAAAGAATTTTTTCAGTCTTCAGGGTCGTGATATTTATACCTATATGGATATTTTGATGCCTCTGAATTATCCTGTCAACTTGCATGTTGACCACCATCGAACCATAAAAATTGATAGACATCCCACCAAAGTTGTAGCAGTCGTTCCTGTGGAATTCTGAAAGAACTGACACCTCTTTATTTAACAACAGTTTGTATTCAACACACTTATTGAGAAAGGCTTTGTTGATACCAAAAACTTAGTTTAAAATACTATGAGTACAAATTTTCCGCAGATAATTGTTCCAGTGTATTACCATTTTGTCAGCCATATTCATCTGACCATATTGTGCCCATTAATACACATATATTTTTTATGGTGGGCTCCCATAACTTTGAAAATAATCCTTTGCTTTCTGTTCTCTAGAAAGCCAGTCACAAATTATAATAAATGTTTTCAAAAACAATGAAAATATAGCACTAGCAGTTATATTTTTTTAAAAAAATTAAAGGGGTGGAGTCCGAGTTACATAACAAAACGTAGGGTTATATATATTTTTTATGGTGGGCTCCCATAACTTTGAAAATAATCCTTTGCTTTGTGTTCTCTAGAAAGCCAGTCACAAATTATAATAAATGTTTTCAAAATACAATGAAAAATATAGCACTAGCAGTTAATATTATCCACAATTATATTTATCCACAATTGGCTGTAAATTTTACCACTTTGTAATAGTCGATGGAATAATGCAGAAGAACTGATATTTTTCCTGTCCTCAGTTTAGTCTGCAGAAATGAAGTAAAAAAGTTAGCAAATAAATGTACTGGTTAATTATGAATTCTCTTTTAATGTTTATACTTGATAGTATATGTAGTTTTAGAAGCTTGATTTAAAATCGAGTTTTAACAAACTTGGTTTAGATCATCACTTAAAGCTAGAGCTGTAAACAATTAATGTATAATTTCTGTGCTCTGTAGGCTTAAAAGTGACAGTTTGTTTTAAAGGGGGAGGGAAGACATTGAAATATATTAATACAGTGCAGTAAAGATACATTTCTAGCAAGTGAAATTATAAATACTTTTTCATCTTTAAATTCAAACAGTTAAACATGTCACATAAATTTCAAGGGGTGGAAATTGTTATTTAAAATACTTTACTTGCTAATTATTAGCTTTGATTTTCAGTTTCATTTCAAGTGTTACTCATATTTATGATAAAATAATGATCTAACAATTTTTGTGTGTGAAACTTGAGAAAATATAAATATTTAGAAAATTTGAACTATACATTTTAGTTGTTTCAATAAAATCAAAACTGTATGAATGTTGAGAGGAAAATTTTAGAATATTTCAGATTCGCAAGGTAGCACTTTGTCCTTTAGGTTCTCTAGATTTTTTATTTCATGGTTTGTGTATTGTTAAACACATCCATCAGAGTTATTCCGTATCAGATGAAAAAAGTCCATAAATAGGTCAAGGCTTTACTTGCCCAGTACTGAAAGTTTCGTTCTTAATTTTTACAATCAGAGACTGAGTTCTCAAATGTGTGGAAGAGGAACCATCAAAGATTAATCTGAAACTTAGAAGCAGCCCTTTTAATAATTCTTTCATCAAAATTAAATTTAATAAGGTTAAAGCTTGGAATAAGTAATTGAAATGGCATTTCCAATTATGACACAAATGAGAAGGCAAATGTCCTTTTCTGCTGCCAGTATTTGTCAAAATTAAAACTTACCCACAACACAAAGCTCGCCATGTCAGTATTGGAGAGTTTTTCTAACAGATCCTTTGTAATGATGAATCACAGGAGCATATGAGATTAATAAATATTTTGCAGACATACATGATAGATATCCAAAACAAGCATAATAACATAATGGAAGAAAGTGGCATTATGTGATTATGAGGTACTAAACAATGATGAGTACTAAATATCAGTGTGTTATTAAATCAGTGTTTCAACTAAACAAGTATACATTTTTATCAGCAATTTCTAAATCTTGTGTGATAAATTTTTTGATCCACTCTCCATTGAATTCAGTAAAAAGATGATAAAAAAAAGAAGCAAGTTTATAAAATTATTCTATTCTATGAATTTTGAAAACATCTACAGTTCAGAAAGTGAAATTCACTTTAAAGGGGGAATAATTGTTAAAAGATTTAAATCTTTTGATATACAGTCTTAGACAGACAAAAAAAAAAAAAAAATGCACCTAGAAGGATTTATCCAAATGGGACGAAAATCAGTAGAAGTGACGTACATGTACAGAAAAACAAATGATTACAGTTTGATAAAAATTGGATGATTTATTGAAGTGATAGAGCTTCACAAAGTAAAAAAGTCAGTAATGCGTTTGTCCACCTCTGGCCCTTATGCAAGCAGTTATTCGGCTTGGCATCGATTGATAGAGGTTGCAGATGTCCTCCTGAGGGATATTGTGCCAAATTCTGTCCAACTGGTGCATCAACATCCCGACCTGGTTGGAGGGCCCTGCCCATAATGCTCCAAACGTGCTCAATAGGAGAGAGATCAAGCGACCTTGCTGGCCAAAATAATGTTCGGCAAGCAGTAGAAACATGTGCAGTGTGGGGCGAGCATTATCTTGCTGAAATGTAAGCCCAGGGTGGCATGACATGAAGGGCAACAGAATGGGCCTTAGAACTTCGTCGACGTACCCCTGTGCTGTAAGTTTGTGACGGATGGTAACCAAAGGGGTCCTACTATGAAATTAAATGGCACCCCAGACCATCACTCCTGGTTGTTGGCCTGTCTGCCGGAAGACAGTCGGGTTGGTATCACGCCGCTGTCTGGGGTGTCTCCAGACTCGCCTTCACTGGTCATCAGGGCTCAGTTCAAAGTGGGACTCATCACTGAAGACTATTCTACTCCAGTCAGTGACATTCCAGTGTGAATGAGCACAACACCACTGCAAATGGGCTTGACATTGTACTGAGGACAATGGTAGTCGGCACAAGGGGCGCCGTGACCTCAGCCCCCTTTCTGTCAGCCGTCTATGAATGGTCCTTGCGGTCACTGAAGCTTTAGTTGCACGTACAATCGATGATAATGATGCATATGGGGGTGTGTGAAGTGCCGCTCTGATGATTGCTCGGTCTTCACATTCTGTCGTTTCTCTAGGCCTATCGCTTCCTTCTTGAAGCTGTGTGCGGCCGTGGTTCACGCATTCCTGCCAACATCGTCTAATAGTGGCATCGCTCCTGCTCAAATGTTGAGCTATTCACCGAATAGACCAACCGGCGTCTTTGAGACCAACTACACGACCTTTCTCTAAAATTCGGACATCTGCACATGTCGTTCGCGCACCTGTATGCGAGGCATAGTTACTGTCTACCAGAGTACACAGATTAAAATTCGTGAAGAATTTATGACCTGGAATCTTAATGTCTCCTCTTAAATATCCTGCCATGCACAGATCAGATGCGTTGTAGCGACAACCGTTCATTCATTGGCAGCCAAAATGTAAAATTTTGCGTTTTCTGTCAAAACCTGTATGCATATCAATTTATGTCCATCTTCTTGATGCATCTTTTTTTTTCAGGGGGGGGTCTAAGAGCATAGTTTCACTGCTAACTGGGCAAATCTATATATCATTCATTTTGTATTCTGTGTTAATTATAGCTCTTTTTTCTTCTTATAGATATGCTTTGTTTCTAGTTTTTTATTATTGTTATTATGGCTATTTTATTATTTATCATTTTCAATTATATTTATATCAAACCATTTTAAAATATTACCGACTTTTCTGTATATAAGGAGAAGCATAAATGAAGTTAGAGATTAAAACAGCATTATCGAAAAGGTTATATTTCAACTATATATATCATTTGGTTTGTATATCTATTATTTCTCATGTTAAATCATTAACTGTGTTTTGTATATATATATATATATTATTTTATAAAGAACTATTAGAAAACATGTAGATATTAGCAGTACAGTTAAAGAAAGATCTGTAAATATGCAAGAAAGTGTGAGACTCAAATTACAGTCTGATATACTAATATTGCAAGTTAAAATCTTTGATCATAGGTAGTGTCATGCTTTTAAGCTTTCTCTAGTAAAGAGCATTATCATGCGAAATATTATCAACTGTATTTTAAATGCATATGACATTATGTAGTCTTTTAAAAAATAATTTTCTCCCATTTTTATATTGCATCTGCTTTTTGAAAAATATTCATGATCATATCCTTGTAAATAGTATAACTTAGTTCCATTCTTAATAGCATCTAAACTTTAGAATATGCACTTCAGGGTTATTTTCCATGCTGTGTGTGTCTCATAAACATGGTAACAACAGTTGCAGTAGACAGCTGAAGCCCTTTACTGTTTTACTTAACATTCTTCACTTTTTGCAAAAGTGCATGAGTGAAAAGCGACTTCAAACAGCTGTTAAAAACATATGCCCAAACCTCTAAATTATTTTGAAAAGGACCTTTTTATCACAAAAATAGTATATTTTAAATACTGTGGAAGTAAATTTTCTATTATTATTCATAAATTGTTATAATAAAGTATTAATTAAAAGTTATACAGAGGCTATTCGCACAGTTTTTAGATGATTTTCCTTGAGTTTAAAGAAATATTTTACCTAAAATATTTATATTTTAAATGCTGTATTTGATAACCCTTATTCTTCACTATCTTTCTACACTGTAATTTCCAAGACAATAAATAAAATTTTTTGTAGTATCGGAAAAGGTATTTTATCAAATTCTTCTTGAACAGCTTTCCAATGTCCAAGGAGGGTTGTAGGTCGGCATTTTAACAGCCCAGAAATGTAACAATCCATGGAGAATTAGTAGGGATGTGAATGAACGTTATGGCTTTGATACCCGTTTCTTGTTCCATTTTTCCCTTACCAGCATATTAACAGTAGATTTTGATGTGTGGCTGCTTGCTTTCTATTGATGCTGCTGTACTGATTGATGGCACTGTGGGTAAAAATAAGTTATTTCCTGCTTGAAAATTGGGTATCATCTTGATAATGTGGGGAGTTGATCTTAACATTTTCTCCACTTTCTTTATTTTCAGTTTGCAGTTATATGAAAAGCTAGCAACAATCATAAATCCCTTTGAAAACTTTCTTTAGATTCTTTGAACCATGTTTTAAGATTTTTTCCTCCTCTTTAATGATAATAAATGGATCTCTTTTTATTGCAGTTATTTAAATACACCCAAGATTCGTTTATTGGGACAACAATTTGTCATTTTTGTCGGGATAAATATTTCTCACTAAGAATTCTGCGGCACATTAGGCATTCATTGATGTGTCGTAGAGAAAGATGATGCACATTCTGTTTTTTCGCCTTTTTAAGATCAGCATTAATCACTTCATTTACAGTTGACACTGAGCATTTTAATGATTTTGCAACTTTGGCTTGGTGGATTTTCCTTTAACATTAAAGATCTTACCTTTGCAACATTTGAAACATTTTGTTTTTCTTTGGATGAACAAATTTTCTACCTGAAGCCATTTTTCCTTCCTTGTTGACAATATTACCTATCGTAGCTATAGATATAAAGACCTATTGCAGCTATAAGTATAAAAAAAAATGGCTTTCACAACATTTTTTAATAACTAAATATGAATAATTTCCTTTTGAAAGCACATAACTTTTCTTTGCTTCTTTAAAAGTGCCATTTTACGTGAAAGCATAATTATAAAGATGATTTATACTTTCAAAAATATAGTTGCAGTTAAAACAAAAATTTTCAGGCAGGTGACTTTTTTATAGAAAAGCAAAATCATCTAAAAAGTGTGCGAACAGCCTCTGTATACAGTATTCATTTATGATGTTTTTTGTGTAAAGCATAAAATTTCTTTATCTTTTAGTACCTGGCCATGGCATTGGAAGAGGCCAAAGAAGATAATTTTGAGTCAGAATGTTCTTTTCAGACAATTATATTGTTTATCCTATACAAATGATCTTTATTAAAAGATCCCATGTATCAAATATGATGTCACATTATATTTGTAAATTGCCATTTTTGTTTGTTTTTGTGCATAAATACTTATTTTAGGTGAGACTTTTTCCTTGTATATACTCATTTCTATAATTTTTAACATTTCAAACCTAGAATCTCCAAATGAATAATTAATTTCCTTTTGCATACAAATACAGTATGTCAGAAATAGATTTTCTTCATTTCTACAGAATGAGTAAATATATTTCTTTGTGTTGTTGTTAAATGTACAATAAATATGAACTTAATAATTTTATTTGCAGAATTTAGTAAAAACACTGCACAAATTTTTTTGTGTTAACAAAACTTTAATTTATTAATGTAGATATAAAGTCTTGCATCTTTTAAAAATTGCTTTTTGTAACTGTGCATAAATATGAAACATTTCTTTTAAAACTGTATTTGAACAGATTTATAATGTAATATTTTTATTTTCCAAGGAAAAGAGCTTGTATTTTAAATTTGTTTTAATAAAAAGTCATTTTAAAATATCTTGTTTCTGAAGCTTTTAAACTGTAAATACATTTTGAAACTGTGAATACATTTGCATATTTACAAAGATTTGTTATACATGTATCACATGAACTGTGTGATAGACCTAGATTTACAAAATATGCACAGAATTATGTAGAAATGTTGTTTGTGAACACCAGCTCTCAAAATTAAAATTTTTTATGTTCATCAATTTTTCATGTATCCCTGCTTAAAGATCAAACTAATAAGCGTAGAATTATACTGTTAGACTGAGCAATAAAATTTTTTTTAATTATTTACTAAAAATTATTCTAAATATCTAATATAATAAGTTTTTCATTATGAACTTATTTTTTAATTTTCACATTAAGAAAATTTCCATGTTTCATGCTGTTTTCAAATTTTTAAATGATACTGTTATCCTTTGCTCTTGTAAACAGAACAAGACAATATATTTATCATGCAGTTTTCTTTGATTATGTGGCATTAGGATTAAGAAAACATCCTAATCAGTACAATGGTTAGTTACGGTGGCTGCCATATTATTAGACCTGCATTTGAATTTCAGAGGCGGCTTGAATATTTGTGTATCGTGTATTTGTAGCTTGGAAGCACCTAAATTACACGGCAAGCCAAAAGTTCTTTTGAAGGTTTGGAGGTAAGGAAGAAGAGTAAGAGACCCTTGGATCCGTCACTCAGGGATTCTACTTCAAAAGTGGGACAGAACTGAGCAAAGTCATACTGTCACTAATAACAGTGGTCTCAAGTTGGCGGCCCCTGAACCAAGTTTATGCAGGCCATGAAGACTTATTGAATCAGTCAGTTTTGTATTTGTTGCAAATACAGTGTTCCAAAGATTTAAAGGATATTAGTTATTTAAAGTTCAATTTTATATTATTTTATTTCCATTACAAATTAACATGAATAGTGCTAAAAAAATTATATATATATATATGGAGACATTCAATATGTTATAAATCTTATTTAAAAATGTAAAGATACAGATTTGATCAACTTTTATTCGAACTTCTCAAAAGATATATAAGCTTAGTTATGAATTTTTGCACTAAGAGTAATCCCTTCATTTGGAAACACATTTATATGCAGGGTTCGTACAGTCCTTAAATTTTTTGGAATCTGGTTTTTGGTCCTTAAAAGTCCTTAATTTTGGCCAAAATCAGTAGATGGTCCTTAATTTTAATCATCTGAAATTTCTGTCTGTTTTATGACTGCCATTTTGAGTGTGAATTTGCATTTTGGAGGAATATTTTTAGCGATTCACTGACGTATATGGTTATCTATGCAGGGTTGCCACGCTACCTGGAGAACCGGGAAAAGTCAGGGAATTCGAAAATTGACCAAAATATTCAGGGAAAAGTCAGGGAATTTAAGTATTTTTGTCAAAATCTGGAAAAGTCAGGGAAGTTCATACAACGATCCCGCCAAAAAAAGCGATTTTTGCGCCGACGTCGGAAGAGGTAACTTTTTTGGCGAATTATGTATCACGTGAGTGTCATTCGGGTAGCTGGCATAGAGCCAATTTTCGCAGCTCCAATTTGATTGTCTTTTAGAAAGGCAAAGCAACTTTCCCGCAACTTTTGGTTTCCAATATTCTTGAGAATCGCATGTGCAGTGCATGAACTAAAGAAAGTACCTGTTCTCGTATAAAACAAAATGGGTTTAATCCTAGTATACGGTACCATGGAGGTTAGAATCAAAGAAATATGTATTGTAAAGAAGGAAAACCTCTCTGCAACAGACGTGGCTGTGGCTCCATTCCATCATAGAGGGAAAACAGCTGTGCATGTCTGATATATCTGTCGCCAAAGCTCGAAACCGGTGTCGAAGTTCGAAGGTCACGTTATCAAGAGTTCATAAAATGAATATCGTTTAAAATTTCTTTAACCACTTGCGCTAAAAAGACGTGCCACGCACGTCAAGATGCTTTTGTCTCAAACCGCGAGCGACGTGAACACCACGTCGATAAGCATTTATCGCAAAAATGAAAATAACGTGGTGCAAACGTCGCCTAACAACGAGATTGTTTATTTCTCGAGTTACAGCTCTGGATTGCACTCGCAGATGCGGAGCGGCGTAAATGAGACACTTTACGACTTGTTATATTGTAGCGCACGGCACCACAACCTGTGAAGTTTAGTCTTAGCGCAAGTGGTTAAACTCTAAAGGAAAAGAAATATTTTTTGGCGCAAGTAAATTAATTCATAGGATTAGTTATTTTCAGGGAAAAAAAAAAAAAAATACGAAAATCCGTTTTTAAAATTATTGCGAAAAATCCAAGAAGAAACGTCCTTTGATAAAACGTTTCTTCTTGGATTTTTCGCAATAATTTAAAAATGGATTTTCGTAGTTTTCTTTTTGTCAAAGAGCGTTTCTTCTTAACACGTGTTTCTCAATTTCCTGTACACATCGCGGAGAGGGAAATTCTGGCCGCCAGGTTCCGTCGCCAAATCCCTTGGCAAATTTTCCCTCCGCATTCTAGCGGCGTAATAGCATTTTACTTGTATGGAAACTTTTCTTCTTTACATAGACGTTCTTTGGTTAGAATAATAATGGGATTTGGCGACATCTTGATGCGCAGTAAACGGGTCATTTTGGTCTTGGCGACAATTTTCAAAATCGTGCCAAAGCCTTACCGTATACTAGAATTTTACCGCAAAATCTTTTTAAACCTTTTTTTTTCTTTTTAATAAATACCTTGCCATTTTGCAGTAAAATAAAAAAAATAGTAATCAGTCATCTAGGCTAGCCATGTAATATAACTATATTCGCTAAAATATCGTTGATTATTCTAATTCAATTTTTAAGTAATTATTTTTATGTTATTCATATAATTTAATGTTGCTTCTTCCCTCTAAATTTATTTATTATTAGTAAATAATATTTCCAAATTTCAGGAAATTTTCTCTGGCATAATCCTGAAATTAATTATAGCAGTATGATGACATACCATCACGAAATTTAATGCACACATATTTTTTCCTTATGTATGCTGCAAAATAAATATAAAATACCTCAATTTATTAAAATAGATTTCTTTCTTTCGTTTAGCTGCAGAATGTCTGCAAAAAAAGCCTTATTTTATTCCAGATTGGGAAGATTCTAATCTCAATCTTCAGTGGAGAAAAAAACAACTATTATAATTATATTTGTGTTTTCAAGTGTTAAGGTGCCTTTTAAGAACATACCTCACGCAAATTAAATTTACCTAAAATCTAACCTAACTATTTAGCATTGCGTTGTGATTTATAAGGACCGGATTAGCCTCGTGTTGAACTGGTGATGATCATGAGTAATAATTAAATAAAACATACATTTGTTATCCAATATATATATCTTAAATTTTATAAGTTTCTTAAGTGGAAAAACTAAACAAAATTATCAAACAAAGTATACCAAGAATAATTAAGAATAAATGTCCTCTGGGATTTATTGAATAATTAAGTGAATTTGCTACACAATACAAGTAATACCATAATTAATTTACCTCTTAGCACAGCCAACGTACATTACGCGGATAGACTGGAATTTTCTTGAAACACACCTGGAAAACCTGGAAAAGTCAGGGAATTTCATTCTCCTGTTTGAGTGGCAACCTGTCTATGGGTTCATGGATTATATTTGTTTCTTTCTAATATAATGATGGGATACTCAAGTTTCTAAGCAAGAAGTAAAACATAAACACTTTGAAATTTACTTTTTGTAATAGAGTGCTCTTAAACAATTTTCGCTCTTGGGGATGTGAATTCTTTTATTAAACGGTTCTAAATTTGGCGACTTGTCAACATTTTGGCGATTTTAAGATCAATTTCTATAGAAAATTTTTAATTCCAAAATCAGAGAATTTTTTGACGATTTTTTTAAACATCATAACATTGATAAATTTCATTAAAATAATGGTAATATATTGGAATTATATTTTAAAAACATTAAAATAAAACATTTTTATTTTTCGCTGTCATATTAAAGTTTCATTTTGGCAACTTATTATACAATATTTCGAATCTGAAAAATAAACAAGGTATAATACTATAAAGCATAATTTAAGAAACAGCTCTTAGCAAAATTAAAAATGTCTTCTTTTTAATTTTTTCATAGTAAGCATTTTTCCCATGCAATTGTCTCAGAATATGCATCAGTTTTCTCTATAAAATTAATTTTACACTTTGTCCATCTTTTTTTTTTTTTCCAAAATATTTCTGGCTTTTTGCTGTTACAGTATTGGTTGGGATAATTTTTCTTTAGTATTATTGACATTGCACCTTGAAGGATTTGAAGGCAAGATTTATAGACCCACGATTATAGAAGATTTGAGAAATATGTGACAAAATGAAAAATGTCTCCATGGTATCAACGCATAAGGGATGTATTTTACGGAAAGTTTGCGATGAATTTCTTTCTTTTTGGAGAACGTCTGGAAGAAGAATGAAGAACAATATTTGAATATTTTACTCCTGATACTGGAATCTTTTTCGTAACATGTTTATCTCTTTCCTTTATTTTCACTAGACTCAAGCATGGAAAATATA